TAACTCTGATGTACAAAAGTGACGGTGCAATACAAGTAAAGTTCTGGTAACACACTCAAATTCAAGTCAGACAAGTAGTCCAAATCTACTGCGGATTTGGGGCCCGGCTGTTTGCAGAAGCAACTCGAGATCCCCATTCCAAAAGCTCTTTGCTCGTATCATCCTTGTGCACCACTGCCTCAATGAAACACAGTGAATCCTTGTGCTCACTCGTTGCCTTTGCAATGGCTTCCAACAGCTCATGCTCTGTGCGCACCTGCATTTGGCACAAGTGCACAACTCACTTCGTCAATTAACATTCCAAAACATACATAACATATCGAGCATTCGAGAAAGACAAAGCCCGGGTATCTACCTTGGAAGTCCAGCATTTGCCTTCACCATTATGAATGGCATTCACGAAGGCAGTGTAGTTCCAGTTCTTGATCACGTTGTACGGACCATCATGGATCTCCACCTCAATTGTATAGCCTCCATTGTTGATCAGGAATATGATAGTCCTCTGCCCACATCGGATCATCGTCGAGATATCTTGAGCTGTCACCTGAGCAAACAAGAACATATTAGAATGTTCATCAAACAGCTCTATGTTACGACCATACATGAAAATACTAGGCAAGGACTTGCAATTCACCTGGAAACTCCCATCTCCTATGCAAGCGATGACTCGCTTGTCTTTGGCTGCTTGAGCATATCCAAGAGTGGCACCAACTGACCAGCCAATCGATCCATATTGCATCTGGAATTCATAGCTGTGAAACAACAGGGGGAAAAAACACCATTTATGACCATGTAAGCGTGATGGGCCCATAACTCAGAAGTCCTTGATGGAAACCATAGTTCACTTACCCGCAATTCTCAGGGAGACGGAGTTTCTGACAATTGAACCATGAGTCTCCAGTTTCAGCAATCACAGCAGAGTTCCCACTTAGCATCTCCTGTTGTACAAAGCAATCGCACAATAATCAGTACTTATATACATGGTTACAAGAACTGGTAAGAATTAGTGCACTCTGTGATTCTACCTGAATGTGTTTGAACATGACATTGACCTTAAGAGGCTCGTCATTAGCGCACTTAAGAGGCATCCCAGGGGGAACAAATATACGCCTGTGGTTCTCAACAGCAGCGGTGTTCTTCTTCAGTTTCTTAGCCAAAGCAGTCAAGAAATCGGTCATGAAAACCCATCCAAATGAGGGCCCATTCCCAATCGTCACACGATTGGGCTGCACTATGATTGCCTTCTCCTTCTTGATCAACAAAGAGTAACCCACGGAGCTGTAGTCGTTGAATATCGGACCAACGAACACATAAGCATCAGCAGATTCCACAATCTCCCCGCAGAAGCTGGTACTAACAGCACCCCAGTAGGTTCCAATGAAATTTGGAAGGTGCTCTGGCACTAGCCCTTTACCTGAAGGCATTACAGATACTGCATACCCACTAGCATCAGCAAGTTCCACGAATGCCTTTTGTGCCTTCGACACCCTTAACTTTGGTCCGCCGACGATTACAGGCTTCACAGCTTTGTTCAAAAACTCTGCCGCTGCTTCAACAGCTGCTTCCAACCCTAATTGATTGCTTACCCTGCAAGAAACATAACAAAGAATATGATAGGGAACCTATCGGTGGAGAAGCAATTTAACCCTATCGTTCAAATTGTTTGAAGATAACCAAAGTCTGGATCTTAAACCATTCTCTTAAATGGCCGCCCCAATCAAGTGTCAGTTTATGACCTGCAAGTTTACACAGCTTCATCCTAACTTGTCCTTAACTTAACTATTGGTATTGAGATTGTTAAAAATTTGAACACAAGAACTTCTTGGTCATACACCATTCAGCGAGTTGGTGGTAGGATGCATCTTATACCGCAGAGGCACCATTAAAACGAAATATAGCAGGAGTAAGTAGCAGGGGTACGTACACAGGGGAAATGAAGAATGGCACTGGATCCCTGATGAAAGTAGGATGCGGAATTGCGGGCAAATTGCAGCTTATGCTTATGTAGACTGGCTTGCTTTCCTTCAATGCAGTCGAAATAGCAGTGTCGATTTGTTCATGTGCATCGTCCAAGTTGTTCACCACTGCCTGTAACAATAATTATACGAAACCCATTTCCCATGTAAGGCAATTTTTCATCTATCAATTACCTCCCTCTACAAAACCCATAACTGGAAATACTCACTTGGTAGCAGGTGACGGTTTGAAAGCACCGGAGCTCCTGGCTGAAATCGGGCAACCCGATCGTGTGATGCAGAACCCGATTAGTCCCGTAATCGTTGGAATTGGGCCCGCCGACGATGCAGATGACTGGCAAATTCTCACTATAAGCACCGGCTATAGCATTCAGCACGCTGAGACCGCCGACGGTGAACGTGACAACGCAGGCGCCAACTCCTTTAGCTCGGGCGTACCCGTCGGCGGCGTAGCCAGCATTGAGCTCGTTGCAGCAGCCAACGAGATTGAGCTCCGGCTCGGCTATCAGATGGTCGAGTAGCGTCAGATTGAAGTCCCCAGGAACAGAGAACACGTCGCTGACTCCGATCTCGACTAGCCGGCGAGCTAGATGACGGCCTAAGGTGCCCGGAGTTGCGTTGCCCGGCACGGCGGGCGGGGCCACGCTGGGATGAGCAGTTGAACCCAATTGATTAGCAGCTTCCATCTGAGAAAATGGGTTGTAAAGAAACAGAGAGGGAGTAATTGGGAAATTTGAGTAGCTAGATAGGAAGGAAGAGAGAGAGAGAATGATCAGTGATCGGTGAGGTTGAAGAGGTTTTTAGGTTGCTAAATATATATTAAGGGGTGGTGATGAATGAATTAAGTGGGTTTTGGTTTTGGGGGAAAAACCATGGGTGGTATTTAGTAAAGCTGGCCAGCTTGGGAAGGAATAATTAAGCCAACAGGGAAAAGGGAAGTTTGGCCGCCGCCATTGATAAGTGTGAAGTATGGAGAAAGAAATGCATGTGGAGGATGGTTTCTGGTTTTGCTGTTGGTTTAGCAATTTTGATATAATGGGTTTTGATTTTCTACTATATGCGTTGAAAAAACAGAGGGAGAGGATTTGGAGGGTAGTGTTCATGTGCGTGGAAAAGAAGATTAGACAGATTTTTGTCTTTGTAATTGTTGTGTTTTTAACCGTCAAGTGGATGAATGTATATAATGCGGGTTTGCTGATTGTTAATTTCTGGTTTTTTCTTTTAATGGTATAAAATAATATTCCTTGCATGCAATTTTGTTGAAACAGGATGTGTTGTCCGTTCGTATAGATGCCACGTAGTCTGTTTAACTAATCTGTGACATTCATTTTTGGGATGACGGTGGAACTTGGACGTCAAGTAAGGAAAGCAGTACTTGAAATTGAGGGACCGAATCGAGGTTCAGACTTTAGTGGCACTTTGGGTTACAGCCTAGGACGGTATTAAGCGGGAGAGCCCTCTATTGGGTTCGTCGTATGTAGTTCTCATGTGCAAGAATTAAAATCGTAATTGTGCTATCTAATTAGGGTGATTCTGTAGTGCCGGTGAAGTCGGGACCGGTTACTATGACAACATCCCTTGTGTTGTTATTGTAACAACACTAGTCTCCAACCAATAGGAAGCTAGGATTGTGATGACTTTTTATTAGATGAGTTGACCTAGTGTAAAATCAAAGCAGGGGTATAATTGTCATTATGAAAAATCTGTTTAAATAATAAAAAATAAAAATAAATAAAAATAATATATTTTTTTATTTTCTGCCCAAAAATGAGGTCGCCTGAATTCTGCCAACGGTCGCCGGAAACTAGTCGCCGGTCACCGGAATGTGCTTTTTGTCGCCGGAATATGCTATTTGTCGCCGGAATATGCTTACCGGTGTCGGAATATGCTTACCGGCGTCGGAATCTAGTCATCGGGGCCGGAATATGCCTATCGGCATCGGAATCTGCTGACTGACGGTCACCGGAGTTCGGTCCACGAACTTCGTTAACCGGTCAACGGTCTTCGTTGACAACGACCACCGGATGTATGGTCTACATTGTGAGATTTATGGTTTGGTTTCTCATATTTTCGTATGCTTTTTGTGGTTTGCTTTATCGTGTTTGTGGTTTGCATTAAGAAGTTTCTGGTTTGCTTTATCGTGTTTGTGGTTTGCATTGAGAAGTTTCTGATTTGCTTTCAAAAACTTTGTGGTTTGCATTGTGAGGTTTCTGGTTTGTTTTAATATATTTGCGGTTTGCATTAGGACGTTTATGGTTTGCTTTTTTGTGGTTTGATTTACTGTGTTTGTGGTTTGCATTAGGAGGTTTCTGGTGTGCTTTCGCAAATGTTGTGGTTTGCATTGTGGGGTTTCTAGTTTGTTTTAGGAGATTTGTGGTTTGCATTAGGAGGTTTCTGGTTTGCATTAAGAAGTTTCTAGTGTGCTTTCGAAACTTTTGTGGTTTGCTTTGCGAGGTTTCTGGTTTGTTTTAATATATTTGTGGTCTGCATTAGGACGTTTATGGTTTGCTTTACCGTGTTTGTGGTTTGCATTAGGGGGTTTCTGGTGTGTTTTTCAAAATATTTATGGTTTGCTTTATGAGGTTTCTGATATGTTTTAGCAAATTTGTGGTTTGCATTAGGAGGTTTCCGGTATATTTTTTGTGGATTGTTTTATTGTGTTTGTGGTTTGCACTAGGAGATTTTCGGCGTCTACAAACAACCATTTTTTTTAATTGCTTACTTACTCTGTCAATGCTGGGTGATCTCAATTAACTCTGAAGAAGAAACATTAACATAGTTACATGTGAGATCATGTCTAGCAGTACATGTGAATGCATGTAATAATTATAACGACGATTGTAATTATATACCAAGACATGGAACTAATCAAATGCCTAATCGGAGCTCCAAGTTTAGCTGCTGCTGTTGGTCATGATGATGATGGTGGTTCTTGGACGACTTCGACTCGGTAATGACGCCAATCTCCAACGTAAATCCAAGCTAACATTATCGACACTATTACCATGAAACCGATCCCCAGATCTCTTCCTGATCAGCTTATTGGCTCCATCCATTCGCCCATGGTCAACCCATGATTATCAGACCAAGATGATGATGATGAGTAGTGATGATCTCCTCTCCTCCTCCCCCAAACAGTGACATCCCCCGGGTCCCAACTTCACCGCCAAATGCAATCGGAAGAATGATGGCATCCCCCGGGAACTTCAACCATTCCTTTTAGCCTATTTCCATAAAGATTCAGTCCTTCCATATCATTGCTGAATTCGTTGCCATATAAAATCAGAAATTTCAGATTCGCAAGTTATGATAATTTTTCGAATTCTGCAAAATAGATGGAAAAAACAAAACAAAATTCCCTTAGCCTATAACACGATCGATCAGTCAGAGATATTTAGAAAGTGATGAGCAATCAACCAGCCCAGAGCTCTCCGTCGGATCGCCCAACTCAACCAGCCGATCATCGCCGCTTCGCTCCGGTCCTGGGCCCAGAGGGGCACCGTCAGCATCTGGAAAACGCCGGGGACGTAGAATGCGATCCTCCAGGCGGTGAATTTGGGGGATCCCATGGAGTCTCGAATTAGAGTGAAGATGAGTGGCACGATGAGCTGTGTGGTTCCCATCACGATGCGGGCGATTACGGCGCCGGAGACGGAGGCAATGCCGGCGTTCCCGATGTTGGTGGCGGTGAGGTTGAGGTTGTCGCGGATGATCGGAAGCAGAGGAGGCGCGGCGAAAGTGGAGACGAAGCAGGCGAAGAAGGAGACGCTAAGAGAGGCGACGCGAGATTTGCGATCGGAGGAGAGGACGATCGAAGCCATCGGCGTTGCTGTCGGTAATTGCGTTTCCGGCAGGGAGATGGCAGCAAGAATCTATCTGTATAGAGAGGGTCTGAGATAGGTGGGAGAGAAGATAGATCAGAAAACTAGAAAGTGACGAGTGGTTAGTAGCGGTAGCATTTTTTATTTAATTTTTTGTTGTGTTTACATATTTACCCTTAATGAAACCTGTTGTTAGTATAACAACAAAAGAGTTGTTGTTATTCTATCCGGACTCGGTGCAGTCTATATACTACCGGCTATAACCGGTTTATGACTTTTCACGTTGTTGGGCCTGGGCTGTGGAAACAAGCAAAAGCATTTTCGTATTTTTGTAATTTAAAATATTGTTTAATACTTTACCCAACGGTTCATGTAATATTTTGTTTTCATATTTTTAATTAATATGGATCCCGTAGAAAAACAATAAATATGCAGATTTTGATTGGAAATCTCAAAACTAAATAGGACCAATTTCACTAGTAAGCCCAAACTATTCAAAAAGTGTTATTTGTGCTTTAAACTATTCAATATGATAAATCTGACACAAACTATATGTGATTTGTGACATTCGTGTCTCAAACTATTTGATATGACAAATCTGGGACAAACCAACATAGATGCTTACTAGATTTTTTGTTAAATACTAACCGTCAACGTCGGTCAACACTAACAGAAAAATAGTTCATGACACAAATGACACTTTTTGAATAGTTTGGGCTTCCTAGTGGAATTCGCCCAACTAAATATGATAGTACTAGTTTAATACTTAAAATATTTTCATCATAGATTCACAAAATTAAGTCTATATTATCCTAGAAATTCAAATGGAAAATATTTATTTGATATGTGTAGATACATAACCAAACATTCCATGTATAATTGTTGAAAATTCTATCATGGGTGAAAAAGAAAAACTTTAGAGAGAAGCAAAAGAAATACAATCTGGAACTCGGTTATAATTTCACGCTTTCAAATCCCATAGTCGACAATGACGACTTTCTAATAAGTTATAACCATATATATTTATTTTTAATTGGACTCGACATTGAGGTGAAAAAGTTAGTGGTTCATGGTTCAATTATTAATTCTCTAGACTGTTGGTGAGTCGTGTATGGACCCGTTCAGGGTTATTTTTAATATTTCACGTAATGAGCAAACATAAAATGGCCGAATCTTCTCCTATAGTTGAGTGATACAACATGTTGTATGGTGCAAACTACAAACTAAATTCATAATTTTATGTTATGGTGGATTGGCTTCATGGATTAGTTCAAAATGATTGGCGGATTGGAGATAGATTCAAGTGAAATCTAAACATTGGACTAATATGTAAATTAAAAGAATTGTAGGTACGAAAATCTCATAAAATTTAGATACCTAAACACAATTGTTCAATGATTTTATATTAAAATTAAATTTGGAGTATCAAAATATAAAATGTTACATAGTAACTAATTTGTTATTTTTCATGCAACAGTAATTGTACCAAAACATAATTGTTCAATAATTTTTTATTAAAATTAAATTTTGAGATATCAAAATGTAAAATGTTTCATAGTAACTAATTTATAATTTTAATGCAACAGTAATTGCACTTCAGTTTTGTATACAGTAACATGAAATCATGACAATAAAAAGTATAAAGAAAACAAAGTGAAGAGAAGAAACGGCAACTCGCAATAATAATAAAAAAAGAGACTATAAACTAAAGAGAACCGGCAATCACCTGTTACTTATGGACGGCACGGATACCGTCACAGTATAGTAGAATTCCCGATCTAATTATCCTTGATCGAGTCTCGTTTCTATTGTGTTTGTGTATGAGGTAGGAGTGGGCATTCTATCAATTTGGTCGAACCTCAGTAAAAAATAGATTAAAACCAAAAATTTTGCTTGTGTTGTTCCAAGCTAATTTGTGGTTGAACTACATTTCTTTTCGGACATTCTGAAACAAAAAAAAAAAAAAAAAACAATTGTTTAGGTTTCCCAAACATATCCAAATTTCTCTTCACCGCCACGCTGCCTCGAGATTTCTTCCCATAGCCTCTTTCCCACAAGCCACAACCTTCTCAAATGGGGACTATTGGTTGAGGTTGGCAGACTAGGAAAGCAGCAACTGGATTTGGGCGAATATTGGCGTCGCGTGAGAAGACGAAGAGAGAGTGGGCACTGGAGATCAGGAGTGCCTGGTGGTGCATGGAGCTGATTCGCCCTTCGTCGTTCGAGACACTGGAGTGTCGCTAGCCCTTCGCCCAGTCCAGTTTCGTTTGAAGGGCCAGATCCCATAGCCAATTTGACAATGGCCGCCAACCGGAGTAGAGTAAGACGAGAAGAAAGGAAACAATAGAAATTAGTGGTGGTGAAAGGAACTGATTTGCCGTTCGAGATAGGGAAGTGCCACTCGCCCTTCGCTAGTTTAGTTTTGCTTTGGGAACCAGATCCTGGAGTCGATTCGATGATGGTCGGCGGAGTTCAAGATGACAATAAGAGAGATATGGGAAACTGAGAGCAATCGAGCTTTGGAGTTTTTGAAGTTTGAGAGAAGTCGAGAGGGTGGAGGGAAAGCACGGGTCTGTCTCTAGAGACTCTTTGCCTCCTTTGCGTAGAAAAAAATGAAAAATTTGGTAGGAATGCAAGATCGGGAGGGAGAGGAGATAAGGGGATCGAGATTTCACTTCAGTTCATTATGAACCGAGCAAACAAAGGCATTGGAGATAGAGGTGGCAAATGAATTGGATTGGTGGATTGGATCGGTGGATCCATGGATCAAATGGATTGGTAGATTCATGGATTGGATCAAGTGAATTGGTGGATTATCCATGAATCCAAATGACATCCTCAACCAATGACCAATATGTAAAAAGTTTAGGTACTAAAATGTCATAATGAAAAATTTTAGGTACCAAAACGTAATTTTCCAATGATATTTTTCGTATAAAAAATTAAATTTTAGGTACCAAAATGTAAAAAATAAAAATTATAGGTACTAAACCGTAATTTGCCAATGATCCATGGATCCAATCCATGAATCCACCAATCCAATTGGATTTTGATAAAATGGATTGGATTTAAATGGATTGGATTAGGTGGATATTTTTAATGGATTGATGGATTGGATTGGTGGATTGGATTGAAATTGCCACCTCTAATTGGAGGTATAACCAAATTCTAACCCGTAGGTGGCCTTTTTTGGTTTAGAATTGGTTTCGAGTTGATTTGGAATGACTCGGTTTGAGTTTACCAAACTGGATGCCCACTCTACTATGAGGTGGTTACAAGCAAAAATCATTGAGATTGGTTGTGATGAAGTATGGTTCGATTTGGGCTCCCCACTACATAACCATAACCATTGTTTAGAATATCACGTGTTCATTTGAATAAATTAATAATGACAAAAGAGTTTATTTCTAAAACAAATTAGAGACTAAACGGTCAAATGGACAAGATTAAGAAAGTATTTTCCGTTGAAGGACTCGTAAGAGTTGAGTAGGGACTTTACTATGTTCCACATAGTGTGCTACTATCAACCCTACCAGGCAACATCTATGTACACAACCTAGATCATGAGATATGGAGAATCCAACAAAAGCAAGAAAATTCCTCTTCTTTAGAGAATCTCATCAGCTCTATTAAGGATAGGTCACCAAGAAAACTCTGGAGAAGAAGAAAGTTTCAACGTTCCTCAAGAGAGCAGAGTCATCATTGTGAGGAGAGTAAAACGCATCCAACTTCAATTCTTTCATTCTCATATTTCATCGTGGCACACCCCCCACACAAGCACTCGGGCCTAAATGGGACCAGAAAACAACTTTTGTTTGCCCCCTTCGTTGGCCCTTGCTTCCTTCCTTAACAAAGCATTCATACACAAACTTAGCATAATCGTTACCCTTATTTATAGTTCTTTTCATATCCGATGTACATCAAATTTTGTTGGAGATGCACCCCTTGCAATACTATTCGATATAAGTTTTATGGATTAATTGATATTGTCAGAATGTATAAGATGATTGATATACTCTTTGTGGTTAGTTTGGGTTTACACCCAAAGAAATTATTATGTACCACATTATCTATATACAAGGCATCTATTGTCTTTATAAGGACATATCAATTATAACAATTAATGTTATTTAAACTCAATCTCATGGTACTAGATTTTTAAGTCCAAGCGACTAAGTCTGAGACGATCATGTTAGTTGCAAGATTTGACCACGTTGGTCGCGAGATCTATACTGTCTTAGTCGCGAGATCTAGATCTAGACAACGAGACATCTAAATCTAGACAACCTTAGTCGTGAGATCTAATCACGTTGGTCACCAAAGACTACCACACGAGTCACGACTCCATGGCGTGGCTGAAGGGAGGCAAGCACCAAGACTTCAACTCCATGAAGAGACAAGTCCCTAGGCGGTTGAGGTAGCAACTGTCAATCATCTTACATCCAAAGATACGACCAAGGAAGAAGGGAGCAGTTCTTTTTGAAAGTTATCAAGCAAGCAGTTCTCTAAGGCGGTTACCACCCCATGCTTATAATAATAGGAGGGGTCGACTGAGGCAAAGTTTTCCAAAACCACACAACTAACGGCTACGTTAAATTTTATCCTTTCTTTGCAAATGTAGCCTAGGCATAGTTTGGAGCTCTCGCTGAACCTCCATAGGAGTAGGAGTAATTTAGCTTAATTAGTTTTCATTCCCACAAATCATCAATAAAATACCCTCGTTTTTACCATTTTAAAGATAAAAACTACACCAAATGTCTAATTTACCATTTCCAGAACAAAATCCATTTAACAATCCATACTTACCATTTTAAAGTGATCAAAATCTTAAAGATAAATAAAACACGTTTCTACCGAGCTTTCCGTAAAATTCACCGTTATGCAGTTTTTAATCCAGAAACAATTTTCAAGTGAAATCTTCTGTTCAATCTTCCCCAACATCATTTTAGACCAACCAAAATATCTTAGATTAGTTTTAAACTCAATAAACCCAACTATCCATTTTTACGGCGAAACTTGTCAAATACCGATATTTACACCGTAAAATCCATAACAATCAAGAATTATCACCCGATCATCATATCACCAAATAAGTTATCACCTACAGTAATCCATCCATCAAATATGTAAATCAAGCATAGATAATCGATGCAATAATCAAGGTCCTCTTAATCCCCACATACCTTAATTTAGCCGATTCCAAGTCGGGAATCAA